ACACCTAAACTAAAATAGCCCATTTTATTTTCCCTTTCCTCTGAAGTGACAAGAACTGCCCGTGTTAGAAAAAAAAACTCCACATCACCTTATTAAAGAGTCTGACCTGAAAATCGTGGAGWTGATTTTCTTACAGGGCTGTGCAATTACTCAAGGATTCCCTGGATCACTGAGTGTATCCCTCTAATTACAATTTCAGATGAAGACAACTCCTCCACCTCGTGGCCAGTGCCCAGAACAGGGGCACTCCTCAWTCCTGCTGCCCTCCAAGGCAAAAAGGGCACCCTGAACCCCCCCGTGTGTTACAGTCAATCCAACTGCTACAATTAATAAAATACCAAGTTTACCAGGCTAGGCTGGACCCTACAGTGGGCTCAGAGGCTTCTGAGTCAGTAAAACAGGGATTCCTGTCACACACATGATCGATTTATACACAGCCACACATCACAGAAAAATCTATGAAACATCTTTAGAAACATGAAGCAACTGAAACACTTCAAGAACAGTAATCAATTCAAAAAAACCAACAGTAATTAAATCCCAACCTTACCCAAACCCCCAGCCATCAATCGCACTGGCAAACACCACATTTCCATGTTCTGGTGAAAAATARAGATGTGAATCATCAGTATCTTCCAATCCTGTACTCCAGTCATAAATTTGATCTCCTGGGGCCGTGTCTGAAACACTTTCACTTTCTGTTTCTTTTTCAGCTCTTTCTTCTAAGACTTTGGAGGTAAAAAGTGTTCCAGTGACTGCATTGATCTAGAGAAGGATATGTAAAACCATCGGATTCATTCATTTTTTCACAACTCTTGCAATTAAAATGCAATTTTCCCACCCTCAAAAACATAAAAGGAGAGGTTTTGTTAASAAGGTAGCATGCCTATGATTCATTTGGCAATTTAAGACACACCCAATTCTACACATTTGAAGCTCACAGGAGTTTATGAGACTAACATTTTGACATTAACACCCTGCAGTTTCCAAGTCACAGTCAGCCACACCAGGACTGAATCAGAGTATCACATGTAACACACTTTGTCTCTCAAACAAGGAACGGTGAAATARGAACTTGTTTCTGTCAATAAAACAAACAAGAACAGAGGGCAAAGCGAAATCAGGCAGATAAGCGCTCCCAAGTGAGCTCGGGTGGGGAAAAAAAACTGAGGGCAACTTAAGCTACAATTTAAAAGATGAATCAACTTTATTCCTACATAAATCCATCAATATCAGGGRCAGTGTAACATTTGTCTACCTATARTAAGTTTAAGTAATTTAACAGAAGAACAAAACATTCAGCACTTTATTTCTAAAAGCAGAAGGCTTTTCCTGATGACCTTTCAAGAGGCATTTACTACCCTTTTCTCCATCATCAGCTTTTGAATAAACCTCAAAACTAAGGAATATGTGGCATCTCTGTGTTAAAAATCAGACAAGATTTACACAGTGCCACAAAACCTGCTGTGTGAAATGACACTGTAGCATGACACTGTTGCCTTGAAAGGCCAGTTTTCAATAATGACACAGACATGGTTAAGGGGATAAAAAGGGTTTTACCTCGGTATTTGGGATCCCAGGTGCACAACTTGATGGCAGAATGCACACCCGTGTACAGCACGGRTACAAGTTTTATAGGKTTTAGGAATTAGCATATCTATCTAGGATTCCTCAATAAGAAACTTCATAAATGCAGTAATGTCCCCCTATTCTAATGAATCTCCTCCTAGATGAGGCCAGAGCCCAGTTTACACARGATGTTCTAGAGAGAAGGCTTCACTCAAGGCTGGAGCCTCGGGTTTAAGATAGCACAGGGYACACTGAYYCYTTCYTYAGGATGTTTGGTCTCTYTGCCYAGCAGAACYCYTAAACTAAGCTGGAATATCARGCTTCAGGAATTACAAGCATGTGGGCTAAGGGGTGCAGGGGAATGCATAGAGGGTACAGAAAGCATAAAAAGGAAAAGCAAAAATCGTCAGGCATCAATACCTGTTCTAAGATGTTCTTAAGGTGCAAGTATGCTTCCTGAGGGGTGAGCTTCAGCTCCACAATCAAGCGGTCGATTTTGTTGATCACCAGGACTGGACGGATATTCTCCAGCCACGCCTGCCGCAGGACTGCTTGAGTCTGACAAGGAAAGAGTTTAAMAAACCCATTACAGAAAGCCTGATACCACAAAAAAACAACATTAAAAAAGTAAAACGTAATTCTAAAATTTAATAAACATATAGTAAGGGATGGGTTGACACTCAAATCAGAAGTTTGACTCCCAYAGTATACAGTGTTAGCTATTGAAGAGTTCTGCAGTGGATTTCATGGCAGAAAAATCGTCAATAACAAAATCCACACTATTTAGAAAAGCAAGCCACAAAACTCAAGAGTTATTTTGCGTATTTTTTCACTTTCAAAATCCTACAAGCCCATGGAAATATGTGGAATTATTACCCTAAAGACTTTTCTCTATCAAAATATTCCATTACCTGAAAAACTGCATACTCACTGTTTCAACCCTGCCTCTCCACACCCACTCACCAGCACTGCTCAGTTCTTCAGCACAACTATGATTTTTACTACTCACTCTCATATCTCAACTGAATTGGCATATATTACAAGTTTTACAAAACATCTTATACAGCTCATGTTTTATTTTTATATGACCCACTTCTGACTTTACTTACTCCCCTCTTTCTCTGTTTAATACACTTTATTTCACCTGTGGGCAGACTCCTTCAACAGCATCCACCACTATGATGCAACCATCACAGAGTCGGACAGCAGTAGATACTTCTGAAGAAAAATCCACGTGCCCTGGGGAGTCTATTAAATTAATCAGATACTCCTGATCACCTAGGATCAAACAATAAATTAATATTTTAGTACAGTTCTCAAAAATATTTCTTCCAGCCACCCACTTATRCTGCTTCAGCTATTATTTTTTAATGTCCTGACACTAACTAAGCTACAAAAAAAACCTTACAGCACAGCACAACAGGTATCTCAGCAAAGCAGGAGGACTGTACTAAAACCTGGGTTTTTTTGAAAGATAGTCTTGCCTTTAAGCGACATTAATTCAAGAATTAAGATCAAAATATACCTATTTATATCTAAAACAAAAAGATGAGGCAACTACTCTCATGGCCTCCACTCAGAGATATGAGTGAAGATGTTTTTTCCTGAWCCTGAGATGGAGCTCAATTATCCTGGCTGACTGTTAAGTGCAGGCCTAAGTCTCTGCAGAATCATGGCATATTTTTGTGAGAAACACAAAAGTAAAGTTGTACACAAAGATGACAACAGCAACAACGAAGAGACAGGGAAAACTAACASGAGTACATATTAAAATTTATATATGCCAGCATCAACAACTTACCTTTCACAAAGTGCAGTGAAATTGCACTCGATTTCATTGTTATTCCTCGTACCTGTTCATCTTCCCTACTGTCGAGATATCTGAGCTGAGCACAGAAACAAAAGAAATGGTAAATCTGCAGAAATATCTTCACAATTTACTTACTGTCAGAGAATGACAGTGAGATAACGAGGTTTAGCAAGACTATAAATGGAATTTCCTTAATGAGCAAGAATTTACAATTCCAGCATGAACACTCCAGAATTCTGTTAGAAGTGACAGTGTAACTCTACCTTTCCTGCCAAGCGGCTGGAGATGATTCCATTGCTAGATATAAGGCAATCAGCTAGAGTAGTTTTGCCTGAAAAGAAAAATTAATTACTTAGATTAAATTAATATAAATTATGGCAAAATATGTTATATATAGTATTCTAAAACATCAACATTAATAAAGGATAAAAAATGCCACAAAAGTACAAATTAACTTTAAAAAAAAACAAATCCAATTATTCAGCTTCACCTGTTAGGTGCACACAAATTTATTTTTGAAGACTGGATGCAAACTTATCTGTCATAACCAGAAAAGCAGTTGAAATAACAAACTAACTCTACATCAGAACCTCATTATARCATGCAATTAGACAAAATATTTGTGTTCTAAAAAAATTGTTTATTATTTCCATCTACCTAACAAACTTGTTCTGTTAAGCAGACATATGAAAATATTCTACCTCTCAAATATATATTACATTCATGCCAGCATTCAACATCATAGAAGTAGAAAGCATTCAATTTCAACTATTTCAGRTTATTATAAATTCTAAAAGACATGCTGCATCAGGCCAAGAAAAAGGTCTATAAAGCACATTTASTTTTCTGATTCAGGTTCAAAATAGTTTAAAGCTAAGTTTACAAAACASTACTGCTTTAGAACCAAAACACCTCACCATCATTCAAACACACCCAGGATGTCTCAGACACTTCTCAGGATGTCTGTGCCAGCCTTACCGTGATCCACGTGGGCCAATATGCAGATATTCCTGATGCCGGACGCCTTCTTCTGGAGCCCAACCATCTTCTCCACGCTTGTGAGCACCATGGCTGGCTAATCCTGGGAGCGGAGCAAAGTCTATTATTCAGGACTCAACTTGGGAAAATGCTTTGTTTTCTTTAATTAAGCAAACTGCAATTAGAGCAACTCATCAGGGAAACCTCCGGCAACACGTGGGGCGGATCAGGAACCACCGGGACAGCTGAGAGCACGAACCGCGGGCCGTGTGTGCCCTTTGGAGCCCGGGCTGGCGCAATTCGGGCTGTGAACAAACACTGAGCCGCCCCGAACCCCACGCTTCCCTCCCGGCCCCGGTTCGCGTTCTCCCCGCGCCGCTCCGGGCGGACACGGCCCAACCCAACCCAACCCAACCCACCCGCCCGCCGGGTGAGGGCCGTGCCGGGGCCGGGTCAACGCCGCTGCCAGGCCGCTCCCGGCGCTGGAACACGCGCTGGAACACGCACCTCCACACGCACCTGCACCCGCTCCGCCGCTCCCGGAAAGCCTCGCCCGCCGCGCTCCGCCCTGCCCGGACCAGCCCGGCCCTGCCCGGTGCCGCTCCCGCCCCGTGACGCCGGACGGAAGCCGGGCCGGGGCCGTCCCCGCGCGCCGCAGCGTCCCTGGTTACCGGCCGGGGCGGCCGAGGGGCCGGGCATGGCACCGCCGCGCTGCATCTGCCAGATCTGCTCCTGCGGGTGAGTGTGGGGCACGGAGCGAGCCAGCGCCGCTCT